GTTATATAAAATGGATTTATATATATATATATATATATATATATGCATATATATATATATATATATATATATATGTGTGTGTGTGTGTGTATGTATTTGCATGTGATGGAGAGAAATAATGCAAAAAATGTGAATGAAATATATTACTCAAATGAATGTGGTCTAGTATACTATTCAGCTTGCTCCGGCAAATAGGGTCAATCAATGTGAAGCAATTAATAATGTTTTCAAAGAATGAGAAGTTTCGTAGAAAATTTTAAGCAAGTGCGCAGAGTTTGATTAGTCAACGAATTAACTCGACTATAGCTAGCTGTGATGCCAATTTTCAAAGTCAACCATTTATTTTTATTCGAAACTCATAATGAATCCACTTGGTGATTGACTTTGTCCTTAAACGAGAACTAGTGTTCACGATCACAAGCTTATACTATTAATTATAAAAGGTCCAAAGATGCACCAAATTTGTTGGCAGAACAAGCATTAAGCCTAAGAATAAGATGGTGGATAATAGCAAACCCTCTAGTTCCACAGTTTCAAGAACTGTCCTTCTCTTTTTGAGGGTCTTAACCTTTGTGTTCCTTCTCATTGCGCTCATTCTCATTGCCACAAACAACCACAGTGATGATGACACAGGTGCCAAAGTCAAGTTCAGTGATTTCTATGCTTATCGGTAAGCATATTATAATTATCCAACTCCACTTTATAAAATGTGATCAGAAGGATTCTTTACCTGAAGCTAGTTATGATTTCAAGGATAGATTTTCAAGTACTTTACAAGGTTATATATATATATAAAATGTGAGAAAATTAAAAGTTACTGTTTCGTAAATGCAGATATATGATCTCCACGATAGTCATTGGCTTTGCGTATAACCTTCTGCAAATGGCGCTCTCAATCTTTACTGTTGTCTCAGGAAAGCGTGTATTGAGCGGTGATGGTGGCTATCTATTTGATTTCTTTGGTGACAAGGTACACCATGCATGCCATAACTCATAACAAATTATCTTATTCAAGCTTTTGCAATAATATATGTTGTTTTGCAAACCCTAATATTTTATATTTGAAACAACTAACTTTGATTTCTATGGACAGATCATATCGTACCTTATGATATCGGGTTCAGCTGCTGGATTTGGAGTGACCGTAGAACTGGATAGAGGAGTACCCTCAAACTCCTTTACTGAGAAGGCAAATGCTTCAGCTAGTCTTCTTCTAATTGGATTTTTGTTCACTGCCATAGCATCAACTTACACTGCTTTTGCTTTGCCAAAGAAAGCTAATAATTAATTAGCTTGATATGATGAAGAAAATTAATGATGTTCATGGATTACAAATTTATAATTCTTTCTTGTTAATTTCCCTTCTCTAGTTAACTTGGTTTTGTTCAGTTCCTTTTGGTGGCCAATCATTTGCTGTGACTTAAATGTCATGGACTAATTAATTTGTATTTGTCTATCTTTGTGTCTGTATTTTTCCTTCTTAAGATATGAAGCAACTGTTACTTGTTTTGATTTTTCAATAGGATGGATTTACCTTGTTTCCTTTCGATCTTTCTCTGCTTCTATCTTCATCTACTGTATTATAACCAGCACATTTCACAAATAAAATATTTTTTTTTAAGTTTAAAATACATACACTTTTTTCGTCTTAATTAATTTGTCATATAACCTGATTGAAAACAATATAACACTAATTTTCATTAAAAATTACGTGTATCTTAAAAATTTTAAATAATAAAAAAGAGAAATTAAAATTAAAATAATATTTTTTCCCACCACAAGTATTTTCAATGTATTAGGTCAAGTCTCACTTAAGGCGTAACCACTCCTAACTCAAAAGATTTAATTTGATCTATGACAGGAATTGAATATAATTTTTTTTTAAATAAATAACATTCACAATATATGAACATAATTTCACTTATCCCATTTTAAAAAAAAAAGAATTAAGAGAATTAATAGATTTCTCTAATATTAATTTGTAATTTAAGACGTTATGATTTATTATATATTTTATTTTATTTATATTCAGGCACATGTTATACACATTGAATTTATATGAATATATTTTTAAAGAAGTTATTATATTTTGATGAGTATCATATTTCATTAAATTAAGTATACGATTTTATCTCAAATTAACATTAAATTTATGAAAATCCTTTTAATATTATAATATTAATATCACATTTTATTAGCATCGTTTATAATTAAATATTTAATACTTCTTAATTCATATAATAAAATATAATCCCCACTCCTAGAATATATATTCCTACAAGTATAATTATTGATAGTTTATAAGATTCACTTCAATTCTTTAAATGAACAGAGAAATAAACTAACAAGTTATTGTCATCTACTTTGGTTCAACTCGATTCAAGTAAAATTGTGTTTTTGTGAAATATACTTCTAGTTTTTTTTATTTAAAAAAAAGATAAAAAGTTAGCAATGAAAAATGAAAAAGAAAAAGAAGAAGAACAAGAAGAGAGAATAAGATCGTAATTGAAAGATTTTATTTACCGTTCATTTATACTTATTTTATGACACAAATATTTATATAAGTGTTTGGAAAAATTTGTCAATATAACTTATGATATATTTGTAAGTTATTTTTAGTTTATTTCACTAAGTTATACAACATAACTAGTTTATAAAATAACTTACAACTTATAAAAACATAATTCAATTTTATTTCTTCCGATTATAAAAAAAGAAACTTAGAAACTTATACACATAAGTATTTTACATAATAATTAAGTACTTATTAAATAAAAGGATTTATTCTGTTTCATATTAACGACGACTTTAACTTTAATGGCTAATGATATATGATTGATTTTTTTAATAAAGTAAATATTGTGTTCATTGATAGTAATAAATTTAATATAAAGGATATAATTTCATCAACATACAAATTAACATAAAATTTAGACTTTTTAGCTAAAGTATGAACCAAGTTTTTGTTAAGAAATTTCTAATCAACACAATCGTCACTTTTCTAAGATGTTTTTAATCAAATGGTTATTTTTGGAGTTATAAAATGATTTAAGTGATAAAAGAAAAATATATGAATAAAGTGATAAGAGAAGGATGAGTTTGAATTCTCTCAACTAACATAATTTACTAATAAACCTTTATATAAAATACGAACTTTTATTTGTTTAAATGTATTTTTAGGAATTTTTTTATGAAATAATTTTTAATTTTTTTTAACTTCTTATCTTTTTTAACTTTTATTTATCATACTTATTTATAAATTCAATTTTTATACCTTAAAATAAATTATTGATAAGTAAAAATGATATTATGTTTTAAATTATTTATCATAAATCTAAAATATAATTTATATATTATTATAAAAAACATAATTTATATGTTTAAAAATATTTATTTATATAATTTTAGTATAATTTATTTATTTAAATATAATACTTATTTATATATAATTTATTATAATTTTTATTTATATAATAAATATTTAGTTTATATATTACAAAGATTAAAATACTAATTATTAAAGATTAAAATACTATTCATTATTAATATTTGCGATAAAAAAAAGGTTTTGAAGTTTAACCTCATTATGTAAAAAGAAAAATTTATTCGACAAGACCTTAATTAAATTGTTAACCCAAAAGATGAAAAATGATGAGTGGGATAATTAAATTGTTTGCATATATATATACCCTTCACTTCTTCTATTCCAGAACTAATACATATACTAATTGATCGAAAAGCATTGCATTGACGGTCTTTAAATATTATATAAATATTAAGAAAGAAAATGTAGTGTAATTTCCTATATATATATATTGTAAAATTAAAAACAAATGAAATATATAATTTTGTTTCCTCATTAAGTATGATATTTTGAGTGAAAAAGTATGCAATGAAAGAAAAAGGGAGCGGGACAAAGATACGTGACTCTTCCTCTGGGCACACGAGACTCGCACCGCATCACGCGCGCCGCTGTCGCGAGTTCCACTCGAATACAGCCCAACCCAAGGGCAAGTTAGAGAGAGCAACGAGCTTCGAAATTGATGCCATGAAGTGCAGCCATGCGCGTTTGCGTTAGGGTTTGCGTTTCGCATTTCAAATTCCAAACACTCTTTGATGAGCATTGTTCCCAAAGAGACGATCGAAGTCATCGCGCAGAGCATTGGGATCAACAACCTCTCTCCCGATGCCGCTTTCGCCCTCGCTCCCGATGTCGAATACCGCATGCGCCAGATTATGCAGGTCTCTTTCACCCTTTCCCTTTCCTTTTTCCGATTACCAACACTTTCGTGTCTGCTTCGAGCCCTCAATCGTTAATTTCACTAATTTGAAACAGAAATAAGTGTTGTTGTGCTGTATTTTGTTTACCTGCTTCGCCTATTTAGTGTTTCTCTAACCGAAACTTTTTGTTCAAACCTCAGGAGGCGATTAAGTGCATGCGACATTCTAAGAGAACCATTTTGACTGCGGATGACGTTGATGCCGCCCTCAATTTGAAGAATGTTGAAGTAAGTGTGCGCCATAAGTGATTAGACTGCCAATCAAAAAGTGTTTTGAGTAGTTTTTTTTTTTTTTTTTTGGGGTTTTGAGGGATGCTTACATTTTTCACTATACATTTTATAACACCACAATTGATTGAATTAAAACAAGTTTGTTGAAATCAAGTGAGTCAACTGAGTGTATAAATCATTCTGGCAGAAGGGATGTGTTATCTTTAAATGTAGAGCCCTCAAGTACAAGTAGTTGATCGGTTTTCCTTTTTTTTTGTTGTAATTTTCAGTGGTTCTTTTATTAGATTAGATAATTACTGGTTTAGGCTTCCGGGCAGTTTTAAGGTGTGTGCTAAACTGCTAATTTAATCATCCTATGTCCCTGGCCAAAAAATGGTTTATTATGGCTATTTTGATATGTTGAAAGATGAGTTAAGCTCTAGCAAGTTGATAAACCCTTATTTTCTTGTCAGTTAAATGACGTGTTTGAGAGCTAAACTTTTGAAAAGAATAACTTCATCATTTATAATTGTCAGCGAGCTCAAAAGTTGTTGTAGGCTATAAATTTGTTTATCTACTGACTAGGAACTTGACTGTGGTATAAAGATCTGTGAATAGTAAGGAATAAAGTTCTATCAATTTTTTCTATTTCCAAATAAAATGATGCATATTGGAACTACCTCGTGGATGCCTTTACATTGTGAGAAATACACAGTTCTCGTCTCCAATCTCACTGTCATGTTCTCTTTTTATTATGTCAGCCAATTTATGGATTTGCATCTGGTGGCCCTTTACGGTTCAAAAGAGCTGTTGGACACAGAGACTTGTTTTATATTGATGACAAGGATGTAGATTTAAAAGATGTAAGGGAGTACTCAATTGTTTTCACTCACTTGTTTTCAATTGGATTTAAACTTCAAGTGCATCACCTTGTTAAAATTATAGTTTGTTTTAATCAAAGGTTATTGAAGCTTCTTTACCAAAAGCACCCCTTGATACCACAATTACATGTCACTGGCTTGCCATTGAAGGTGTGCAACCAGCTATTCCGGAAAATGCCCCTGTAGAAGGTAGGTCTCTGACCTTGAATGTGACAAATTGTTTTTCACTCACAGATGAATGATTCATGGTTCAATATTTTGAACTTGATGTTACCAAGACACTGTAAATTGAAAATGGTAGACGTGAAAAATTATATAAATCCAATTAGATGTACTGGTTATCACAGATATTTAGTGTTTACATGCATACAGTCATATATATATATTTGCTATATATAATGTAATTAAGGAGATGTAAATCATGCAAACAAACAGGAACAGTTTTGGAGCTTAAAGCCTCGAGATTTTTTATTTGTAAATTCTTCCAATATACCAGTAACTTGTAATCCCTGGTTTCTTGTTAAGAACAATTATTTACTCATTATGTTATTTGCAGTAATTTCAGCTCCTTCTGATGTCAAAAAGCATGAGCAGAAAGATGATAACCTTCCAGTTGACATTAAATTGCCTGTTAAGCATGTATTATCTAGAGAGCTTCAGGTATCAAAATTATTAACCTACCACAAGCTATCTTATATTGTGGTTCATTTTCATCAGTTTTATTGTTCCTTGCAGCTATATTTTGACAAAGTGGCTGAGCTTACTTTGAGTGAGTCTGATTCAGTTCTGTTTAAAGAAGCATTAGTAAGTTTGGCTACTGATTCTGGACTTCATCCATTAGTTCCTTATTTCACCTGCTTCATAGCTGATGAGGTAATAATATTTGTCTTTTTATGATGTTGGTAGAAGAAAATGGAAATTTCACCTTATTGTTGTAGCTCACTACAATTGCATGCCTCTCCATTTTTGTCAGGTTTCACGTGGTTTGAATAATTATCCTCTTCTATTTGCCTTGATGCGAGTTGTTAGTAGCCTTCTGCAAAACCCTCATATCCATATTGAGCCTTATGTAAGTTCACCGCTTGTCAATCAAGTATATTTGTTTATATTCTTGCTGGCATAGTATGATCTTTGTGTATGCAGCATTTTATTATTAATATTTACATAAATGTTTGGTTGTTTCATCATATTGTATTTGGAATTCTGTTGTCTCCATTAAATTATGAAAACATCCTTTAGATATTTAAGTTAATGTGTTATTTGTTGCTTGTCCATGAAGATGGACATTGCAACACCTGGCCCCATAAAAATTGGTAATTATTTTCTTGTGGCCTAATGTGTAGGCTGTTTCATCAGCCTGCAAATGTCAGGCTTGGGTTCTGCTTTCTGGTATGTCTTTTTTCTGGCCAAGCAGCAATGTGCCTGGTTGGAAACCTGCCCGTTTGTTAGTACTTAATGACGTTTATTGTATAATAAAGTGGTTTTCCTGTTTATTTTTTAATTTGTAAATATCTTGGTTGAATAATTATGTAGTGTTGTGAAATGAAGTAGAATGAATAACAACTAGAGAAGTCTTTCTTTCCGTACAGGTTGGGTTAGCTGCATGAATCAAATGAAACCAATGTTTTGTCATAAGCCATGTTTTCAGAAAGGCCATTTAGATCTCAGTCCTTTTTGATGATGTCTTTAAGACTTTTCTTCAATCTTCCTTTACCACTATGTATTGAACCATCCCTAATCTGATCAGCTTTCCATGCTACTTTTTATCTTTTGGGGTATGATTATGAATAAGGAGGGAGATAAGGTATTATTCTCAGCAAAGACCTGAAGATAAAACATAGAAAGAATGAACACATTGAAAAATTAAATTTCTTCTGACATTTTGGTACATCCATGGACCATGGGGGAGATTCCTTTTAAGAAACCATGAAACAAGCACCAAAAAAAGCCATAAAAATGGTCCAGTCTTAGATGAGATCTAAGGGCTGAGAAGAGTTCTTGAAGGTGCTGACATTTTACTCTGGTCATATGCATAGCGGTCATAAATCCTTTTCCTCCTTAGTCTAATGAAAACCCCTGATATTGATCTAAACCCTAAATAAATCATTCCAAGTTGTGACACATGCCTAAAATTCACCTAAAACCAAATAACTTACCGCATAAGAATCTGGTTGTATGGAAACGTAAAAAGTAATGAGCAACCAATTCAGAACTGAAATTACACAATATGTGTGACACATGTAATTAGAGAGCTTTCTGGGCTATCTGAATTTGGAAATATCTCATTAGTGTTAATTTTCTTGGCATTTATAGCAAGCATATTTAATTGTTTGGGTTATTAACTTGTTGCTCCTGATGCTTGATTACCAATTTTCTCCATCTTTCTTTTCATTTTACTCCTACTCGTACGGCATTACCCATAATGAATCATGTAAGTGCAATCTGCATTTTCATCATATTTGGCTGAATAATAAGGCATTTATATTCTAAAACATTCATCATTGTTGCCACATATTTGAACCTGTCTCCTCTGGGCAATCTTTGTTTCTCTTGTTTGTAAATTGCAGCTTCTATATTCAGCAGTAGTTAAGTTCTAACAAACAGCATTTAGACATTATGCGGCAAAGGTTATTATAAAAACTTGGTTCATATGAATGAGTAATGTGAAATAGTTTCTTTTTCCTTTTGCATGCTTCAGCTACACCAGTTGATGCCATCTGTTGTGACCTGCCTTGTTGCTAAACGATTGGGCAGTAGGTTGGCAGACAACCATTGGGAACTTAGAGACTTTACGGCTAACCTGGTTGCCTCAATATGCAAAAGGTGAGATATCATCAATCTGTTCTGTTGTATGTTTTGCTGCACCAACGGAAACAGAAGCAATTTTTACTTGGTATATTTATTGCTGTGCTATTCCATTTATTTGTTGCAATTTATTCTACACACCTTTTTATTTTATAGTACAAAGCCAAAGAATACTAAATTTATTGTGTATTTCCTTTCAAATTCACCTTTGTTTTTGGAGATCCAATTCAATGGCACACTTCAATGTTTTCATTTGATGAATTTTGTAAGATTAAAAAGCTTATGTTTTTTGTTGAGTTATCAAATAACTTCCAGGCATAGTCACTGGCCTTTGAAGATGTAGAATTTGGTAGAATCATTGAATTGTAAGCTGGAGAATCTAGTTTTGCTTAATGACTCTAGGTATCTTGCCTAGTTTGAAAGTATTGTGTGGCTTATTTATTGGGCTCTTGTTGATTTTGTTGCAAATTTTGCTTGCTTTGAATGTTTGTTTCGTGCAGGTTTGGACATGTTTATAGTAATCTCCAGTCGCGGTTGACAAAAACATTGTTGAATGCATTCTTGGATCCCAAGAAGGCAATGACTCAACACTATGGTGCAATTCAGGGGTTAGGAGCACTGGGACCCAATGTGGTATGTGCCTCCATGTTCTTGCCTATTATCAAGTTAGTCAAAGACCACAAATAGGAAGAAAATTGCGAAAGAAAAATCAATAAACCAGTACATTTGTATTATTCTATGTTGGAGTACGACCCTGCAATGTGTTTAGTAAAATGTCTTGCATGGTATCAGAAAGAGTGGATTTTTTTTTTCATACAAAATAATTGTTGGAGATGCATTGAAGGAAATAAAGTTAACTTTGTATTTAGCTGACTTAAAAGATTTGGTCCTTTAAGCTCAACCTATTTCTTAATCATTTTTTATCACGAATTGAAATTTATTAATTGAATCCTTAAGGTTTTGATTTCTATAAAAATATGTTCTATAATATATTTTATTTGGTTAAGATGATAACTTCCCAATTCAATCATCATTAGAGGCTTGAACTAATGTTTTTCATCATCTTATCATTAGATTCCCATGTCTAGTGTGGGAAGAACATACTATTTCATTATATATTCACTATTGTGACCTTGTGAAGCATATTGAGACCTTAGTTAAAGTCTTAGTTTGGGGAAAAAGAAGGGTGTTGCATGCTTGATGTTTATTGATATATATAATTATAAACTGAGTAAGTAGCATAGTTTTTTTTTTCTTTCTATTTTTATTTTTAATTTAATCCTATAACAATCTTGAGGACAAAATTAAATAGAAGTGAGATTTAAGGTTTAAATGACTAATTTAAAAAAAAAAAAAAGCCTTGCAAAGTATGGTGTATTTCCTCGTTTGACTCAAGTCAGGTTGATGCTATATGAGGCTTGATATATTTTTAATGTTTCTCCTTACTTTGGAAGTAGGTTCGCCTTCTTTTGCTGCCAAACCTTGAAACATATATGCGACTTCTTGAACCAGAAATGCTTCTTGAGAAGCAGAAAAATGAAATGAAAAGGCATGAAGCTTGGCGTGTTTATGGAGCTTTGCTGGTAATGTTCACATGCACTTGTTAGTAAAAAAAAATAGGTGCTTTTACAACTGAAGATTTTCAGCCCTGCTCAGTATAATATGGTTGTTCTGATAATTGTATGTAATGTATCATTCAGCGTGCTGCAGGTCAGTGTATATATGATCGACTAAGGATGTTCCCAACTTTTCCATCTCCTCCTCTTCATGCTGTCTGGAAGACCAATGCAAAAGTTCTTACTTCAACTCGTGAGTATTTTCCTTGTTACCGAAGAAAATACTGGTCATTAGTTCATGAAATGTCTCAAGGATCATTTTTTAAATCTCTGCTTATTGGAAGGAAGACACTCTTTGCTTGGGTATTTAATTTAATGGAAATAAATATGCATAATAAAATTTAATAATACCCATAAAAGAATGGAACCTACTTGTCAATATTGCATCATATATTAGGGATGAAGCTTTTGAACCTGAAGCAATCTTGTCTTAATTGTCTTTACTGAATCATATAGCATAGAGATAATAAATATTATTTCATTTCAAATCAAAATAAATGCATGTATTGAGGGTTATAATTGAAATTTAGAAATACAACTATTGTATTATAGCGAATTGTTTCATCAGGTAAATAGATTGCTTTTGTTAAAATATATGAAAATATCTTATCATTATTATCCTCTAAGATTACCTTTTCTATTTTCTCATTGTCTCTTTGGTTGTTCACCATCATTCCTTATCTTTTCCTGATTTTCCCCCCTAATTAGCTGGGATTATTATAAATAGGATAAATATGGGCTAGTGCTCTATTTTTTTTTTTTGAACATAACCAACACATCTCAGTTTATATTAATTAGCATTTCTCTTGTTTATCTCTCTTTCTGCGTCTACCTAAAAGCCCTTGATCTCAGTAGTGTTTTAGAATATTCCAACTGTGAATTTTTGTTTGAATTGTAACAGGTTTACATCATGTAATAACAATACACCTAGTAGTACTCATGTATCTAATATCAGTCATTTTAAGTTCACTTTAGTCTCTGTTATTTTTTTGTTCATTTGGCCATAGTTTACGGAGTTATTTTTAGAAAATCATCTAAATATTGATCTACAGAAATAATGCTTTCAAACCACTTCTTTTCAGATTATCTTGCAGCTGTTACAAGTTCTGTTACTTGGCTGTTATTTTCTTAATAATTTCTTAATAGTTAATGTACTGGGAATCATTAACTTTCCAATGGTTTTATGTTATTGATCAATGTTATGATTATTTAATTAAGTTTGCAATGGTCTGATTGAGACTTTCACAAGTCTGGTGGTCTGTAGTTTTCTCAAACCAGACTATCAATTATCAGCTTTGTACTTTTCCTTGATTTGTTGTATACTGACTTCTTTGCGTGATTGATTATTAAGGTAAACGCAAGGCAAGCCCTGAGCAATTGGAAATGCAGCCACCTTTGAAGAAAACTGCTACTGATGGTGAGATTGGTGTGGTTCTAATGAATTCCTCACCAGTTCATAAACAAGAGGAGGCAGGGAATCAAGCTTCTTCAGTTGATTCAATAATTGGCACATCATCTTCTGGACAGACGAAAAATGAGACTACTCTAGATGGTGAAGTTAGAAGTAACAGGGGTGATACTCAAGCATTGAAGACATCTGCTGCTCTCACCCAGGTTTGGAAGGAAGAGCTTAATTCAGGACGTATCCTGGTATCACTGCATGAGTTGTTTGGTGAAGGCATTCTTTCCTTCATTCAGGCTCCTGAGATGTATATGTTCTTGTAATGTAGGGAGTATTGTAGAAATTTTATGGATAGAGCATGGATAACCCATTGACGTAACTTCGAGAACAAACTAAATATATAAAACATACTAATTTTATGTCTGGTGAAAGTTTTTTGTGCGCCATGTGAAGTCCATGTTGATGCTTTAGATATGGTTGGAAATCGATTATCAGGTTGAGTGAATCCAATGTTTGCAGATCATGTCAAATTCCTTATTGCATCCTACTCGGAAACTTTAATACTAATAGGAAAATAATATTATAACACTTCAAGAAAGAAAAGAGATAGGAAGCGAAGAAAAAGAGATGTGATGTTAATTAAGGAGATAAAAGGCTTGTAAAAAAAATGAAGATCTGGACTAATACGGGGTATGAACTGGGTTTTGGATGTTTTAAATCATTCTCAACTGCATTTTTTATTTTTTGGACAGAGATATAAAAAAGTCAGATTAAAATAGTTTACTTCAAGTATTCATAAGGAATTCAAAACAAAAAACAGCTTTAAGACATTTTACTGGAATCAATAATAACAAACAGGGCATTAAAATATTACAATACTAGCAGAACTTTGTCAATCACAAGGTTGAGTAAAGTAGTACTTAAGCAGCCACTTTATTGCACTCCCTTTCAACAGCTTTCTTGAGGATGCTGTCTTCTTCCAAGAGCATCTGAACTGGTAAGAAACCCAATCCATCTGCCATGGCAAGCATCATCTGCTTGGTTTCCTTCTTGAATTCGTCAAGATCAATCGTGCCATTCAAGTTGTGATCGAATTGTATGAACAAGGATTTATAAACACGAGCAAGCTCATCTGGGTTTGGCTCCACATCAATACCGAAATGAGTTTCCAATACCCTCAGGCTTTGGAGCTCCTTCAACATCTCTGCATACGAGAGAAGCCCATCATTGTCTGTGTCTAGGTGAGCAAACCTGTTACGTACTGACACACTAAAGGCTTCTTCATCCTGAAGGAAGTTCACAATGGTGGCACCATCCAAAATTTCCACACTCATCTTTCTGTTGTATTAGAGTTTAAATGGATGGTAGTTTGTATGGAAAAGGAGAGGTGATGGTTGTGTTTGCAAATGCTAGTGCTTTGAGGAAAAGGGTTTATTCTTCCTAGTAATTTATAGTGTTCGTAGTCGGTTAAAAGGGCATATATTCTTAAATAACTTACAAATCAAAGATGAAATGGTATTGAAACCTTCTGTTTTGTGTCCCACGTTTTAGTATCGTAGTTTGTTTATTCTTTAGTCTAACGGACTATATTGGATGCTTCCTTCCCACCTTGGGTAGTGATTATTGGAATTTTCCCGTCTGTCTGCATTCAAGAAATTAACAGATCTACGGTGGAAAATAATTGGCATGTAGGGGGGCATCTGATAAGATAATTCTTGATCGTGGGGGTAATTTTTATTTTTTATTTTTTATAGTACAAAAATAATTTTATATTATCAATTAATCAAATATCATTATTGGTATTACTTTTTTACAATTTTTTTATCATAAATTGGGAGTTGTGATTGACAGTGTAACATTAAAATTAAATTCTAAATCCTAAAATTATTTTATTATGTGAGCACATCACTATTAAATAGTAAATTAAGTTTTTTTTGTTCCGTGGGGAAGTGGTAGGAGAGCGTTGTAACCTGTAAGTCAGTGGGGATGCATTTCCAATTGGCCATTTGGTAAAGTCGGCGTTGAATTTGAAAGTTTAAAAGCCATTGCTTGAATGAAGGAAGGCACAGTTGAAAGTCTTAAACAGGGATACCCACTGATTATTTAATAACCTAAACCTATTGTGCTTCACTGCTTTGCATTTTATAATTTATTTCATATATAATATCAATATTTAAATTTTATATATCTTATTAAAAAAATATAAGTTACTACTACTTGGATCACTGTCAACCAATATTAATATGATATAGTTTAGTTAAGTGCATGTTTGATAGTTTTTCATTAAATGAAAATTGTATATAAGTTTGATTAAAAAATTTATGACATAAGCTAAAAAATAATTCATGAAAAAATCATATTCCATAAACTCAAAATAACTCTTCCAAATACTTCTTAAATTAGTTATACTACTATCGAACTTTTAAATTGAGAGATCTTTAAATTTTCTAAAGCTTCAAGAAAAGAAAATTATACCATTCTGTTTAGTAAAATTACACCCTTCTCACGTGCATGATTTATCCATAAGAGTCGAAGATTCAAGTAAATGAGTGTTTGAGTGAATTTTTGAAAAAATAATTTCAAACGAAATTAATTTTGAAGTGATATGATTTATATTCGGATGTTTTATTCTTAAAACATGTTAACAGTAAAATAGCTAAAGTCACTTTAAGTTAGAATGAATCTCGGACTTAAAAATGTTTTATCGTGAAATTAAATATGTGAATATTTATCTAAAATCATATTTACGTGAATCCAAATACGCAGTGTGTTTAGATTACGTATCCATCTACTACTTGCGTTGAGATTACAATTGACGCCCAAGACATAAAAACAACGTAGGATGTTTTTTTTGGTAGCATATGCAAACAAGTGAAGAAAAAGGAAACGTAGGATATACAACCAAACATGCTGTATATATGTATGTTTTGATCCAAGCATAAAAGACTATTTTTTTTTTTAACAAGCAGGAGAAATGGCATAAACTATCATGATAAAATAAGTGATGATATATGGAAATCAAAGGAAGAAGCAGCACAATGAAGAAAAGTCAAAAAGGAAGGAAAAAGGTGATTTTTTATTTTTATTTTTTAGGGTGAGAGAATCAAAATAAATTCTTATTTGATTCAAAATTATATTTTACACAAATAATAAAAAATTGATCATTACTTCACCTTGATTATATAACATTCTCATTTATCATTCTTTACAATTTAAATTATTATATTTTATGATATTTATAGAAGGCATCTGTTTATTTTCGGAGTAAATTTATCTTGACTTATTTTGTTTAATAACTCATGTTCTACATCAAATTTTAACAATCCAACCGTTAAATTTAAAATTCTTAATGCATAGATCAAATTTATAAATTTCTAAAAAATTTGAAAACCATTTAATACTTATTTCCATTAATTCAAATCAATATATAAAATAATTTTATGATTATCCGTCAATTTGAATTAATGAAATGAAGTATCAAATGATTTTCAAATTTTTTTAAAATTTGCAGACTTGATATATACATTAAGAAATTTAATTTTAATGGTTAAATAGTTGAAATTTGATATAGAACATAAGTTATTGAATAGAATAAATCTATGTTATTCTTAGAATAAATGGATCTCTCCTCGTATA